GCATGCGTCAGCTATGTCATACGCCTTTGATTAGCCTCACTTCGTAGATCACAACTTCACCACAGATATCGTCCTGAATTAGTTGATCTATATCAACAAACTTCGTCGAATCAATATGGCGCCGACGATCAAAGTTGCTGTCATCCAACTCTACCCAGAGGTATCTCTTCTACCCCACATCATCTTGATTGCCCATCATGGTCGACCACATCTGCAACCATCAGCATCAGTTTCTAACATTAGCTAGCCCCTACAACCAGAGCACAATTTCAACAAAGCCGTTTCATTCATCCGCTCAGCAGCAGCTCAGGGCGCCGAACTCGCTGTCCTACCCGAATACCACTTGACAAGCTGGAAGCCAAACGATCCCGAGTTCCTGAAGTGCATCGAACAATGCTCCGGCTACCTAGAGAAATACTGCTCCCTAGCCAAAGAATGTAACATCTGTAAGTATCACTCCAACCCTCATCATCCCCCAAACCCAAAACTAAGCTCCTCCTCACTGTAGCCATCGTCCCCGGCACGATCGTAGAATCCCACAAAGAGAACTCCGCAGCGGAAGACAAACTCCTCAACGTATGCTACTACATCTCGCCCTCAGGTTCCATCGTGGGAAAATACATCAAAAAGAACCTCTGGGGCCCCGAACGCAACCACCTCACCGGCTCCCGCCACGACCCCCATGAAGTCTTCGACACACCCATCGGAAAAGTCGGATTGCTCATATGCTGGGATCTCGCGTTCCCAGAAGCGTTCCGCGAGTTGATAGCCAAAGGCGCGCAAATCATTATTATACCGACGTTCTGGACGCTGAATGATTGCAACGAAGCGGGCCTTGCGAGGAACCCGGCGGCTGAAGCATTGTTTCTGGATAGTATGCTGACGGCACGGGCGTTTGAGAATACGTGTGCGGTTGTTTTTGCGAATGCGGGGGGTCCACCGGGGATGGGGTATGCGGGGTTGAGTCAGGTTGCTGTGCCTTTTGTGGGGGCTTTGGGGAAGTTGGGGAGTGCAGGCGAGGGCATGTGTGTTGTGGATTTGGATATGCAGGTCTTGGAGGATGCGGAGAGTAATTATCAGGTCAGGGCTGATATTGCGAGGGGGGATTGGCATTATGTTTATAGGCATTCGGGAGAGGGGAAGCCTTGAGTGAGGATGTGGCGCATCAACATGATCTCTTTGTATTATCTTCAGCATCATGTTCGATAAGTATAAAAGTATGCTCAGGAAAGCACTAGTCTCGATCTGGACATTCTTTGCTGCGGGTTTCGATCGAGGGTGTAAAGTTCAATAAACGAAATGTATTCCATTTGGTCAATTCAATCTACTCTCGGCCAACATCGGGCTCCTCCAAATGCGCCCAAAAGTCGCAAATTCGCAAAGACATGGTATCTGACAAAAGTTCGCGGAAGCAACCGGTGAACTCCTACGCGCAGCGCGAACGGGTGCCTAGTAGCGCGCAGCGCCAGCCCCTCTCCCAAACTATTGAACGCCGATCATTATGGCCAGAAGCTCGATTCACCACCATGGCACCATCTTCCTGCGCCTAACGCAGATACTTCGACTCAATCGCATGCTGGGCGTCGAGTGGTATCTCCGGGTCGCATGTCGGCATCCGTCTCTCGTCTCAGCTCTGGCCGCTACCACTGGCTTCGCTGTCGGACCTCTCGTCTTTGCGGATGTAGCCTATTTCTCTCGTCGAGACGCCGTGTTCGTCCGTACTCCAAGTCTCGCCAACGACAATGACCCTCGTTTTCCCTGTTTCCAAAAACTTTTCCTCGTCTCTCGCTAGCTTGGCTGCATTCTCCGGGGCGTAGATTCTTCGGTAGAATTCTTGGAAGCGGGCTTCGCTGTCAAACGTCATTTCTGCAATGCAGTCACAGTCCAGCTCGTTCATCTCGCCCCTTAGCATCAGCGGCGGTCGGTCGGGATTTGCCGGTCCTCCGAACCCCTTCCGCGATATCCGCGCGAGATAGCGACGTTTGAAATCGATCGGCCAGCAGGAGGCGAGCAGCGAATGAGCGAGGGGAATGTGCGTGTGCTCATAGTGGTCTCTGAACTCTTCCGAGGTAAGGTCGTGGTTGCGCGTGATGAAGAGGACGATGGTGTACGTCATATTGGAGGGTGGGAAGCGAGTCAGAGGGCAGGAAGGGTCTTGACTGCGACGAAAAGGGTAGCGTGGGTGGTAAAGACAGTAGTAGGGTTTTGACAGCGGCGTGGCTTCCAGAGGGTCTAGGGACAGAGGAACGGCAGGCTTTTGTAGTTTATCAGCCACACTCGATGCGAAGACATCATACTGGCACCGAGCGCGCCTAAAGCCTCCGTTATTGATGCACACAGCTACTCGTGCCCTAGGGCGAAACTACGGACCCGGCACCGGTAGACGACATGGGCTCGCCATACTTTCTCAACGCCGTCACGACACCCAGCGCTGAGGATATGGCCGGTGAGTCGAATCAGGACGTGTCAAAACAGCAGGATGGCCGTGAGGATTGAGTGGAGTGGACCTCTGCGCACTGCCCCTCACAGCGCTGATCCCGGTCGCGCCTGCCCTCTGCTTGGGCGCGCTATCGATAGCAGACTGCCGCTAGCAAACGCACAGAACGCCAAATTTCGTGACAAAGCGGGGAGCAGCACCACGACACGACATTCACCCCCCGTACAAGCACCCGTGCCGTCGCCCGAACGAACACCCAACATGAGTCTGCGCGAGCGTGTCCCGCCGCAGTACCAGAATGGCGACGCTGCCAGGCGTGCGCCGGACGACGACTCGGACGTCGAGGAGGAGGCCATGGCGAACGACTACCGCGAGCAGGTCCAATACGACGGCATGGAGGACCTCGACCGCATGCCCTCGATGAACAGCAACCAGGACATCCACGCGCAACTGCAGGCCGCGGCCACCCCCCTCGAATTCCAGGCCACGCTCGAGACCAAGTTTGCGAGTTACGACAGCTACTGCAACCTCTTCCACTACATCCTGAACTCCGAGGGCCCCGTTGACCTGGAAGTGCCAAACGTAAGGAATCCGGAAAAAAGGGGAATATAGCAGGGCTAACTGCGCATAGTACTACTGGGCGTGGGATGTCATCGACGAGTTCATCTACCAGTTCAACAGCTTCTGCAGCTACCGCCAACGAGTCGCCCAGAAGAACGAGAACGAGGAGGAGATTGCGCTCCTGCGCGAGAACCCAAACACATGGGGCTGCTACAGCGTCCTCAACGTCCTGTACTCGCTCATTCAGCGGTCACAGATCAGCGAGCAGCTGGCGGCGATGAAGCGGGGCGAGGATGCGAGTCTGTACGCCGGGGAGTACGGCAACAGGCCGCTATACAAGATGCTGGGATATTTCTCCATCATCGGTCTGCTCCGCGTACACTGCCTGCTCGGAGACTTCAGCCTCGCGCTCAAGACGCTCGACGACATTGAGCTCAACAAGAAGGCCATGTTCGCCCGTGTCATGGCCGCCCACTTCACCACATACTACTACGTCGGATTCTCCTACATGATGATGCGACGATACTCGGATGCCATCCGCATGTTCAGCCACATCCTCGTCTACGTGTCGCGGACAAAGAACTTCCAGAAGAACGCGCAGTACGACTCGATTACCAAGAAGAACGACCAAATGTACGCACTTGTCGCCATCTGCGTAGCCTTCCAGCCCACCAGGCTCGACGACACCATCCACACTGCTCTGAGGGAGAAGTACGGCGAGCAGTTCAACAGGCTGCAGCGCGGCGGCCCCGAGTCTCTTCCCCTCTTCGAGGAGCTCTTCCGCACCGCCTGCCCCAAGTTCATCAGCCCCACACCTCCCGACTTCGACAACCCAGAGGTCAACATTGACCCTGTTGAGCACCACCTCCGCATCTTCATGGACGAGGTCAAGAACAACATGATGTCGCCCACCGTCAAGAGCTACCTCAAGCTCTACACAACCATGGACCTCAAGAAGCTCGCTGGATTCTTGGAGGTTGAGCCAGAGAAGCTCAGGTGCTGGTTGCTCGTCAACAAGCAGAGGAGCAGGCAAATAAGGTGGGCCGAGGGTGGTCTGTTGGATGGTGATATCATCCAGGCCAGCGACCTCGACTATGCTATGGAGGGTGTAAGTACAACACATCTGGAACGAGAGACATCTGCTAACGATTATCAGGACCTCATCCACGTTTCAGAGGCAAAGGTCGGCAGGAGGCTCGTAGACTGGTACCTCCGCAACTTGGCCAGGACGTACTAGAGGATCACGAGTGTTTTCTGAGAGCGACTATTCACATTCGGGGCCCACACAATAGAGCATTGCGCTTGGAGTTGGAGGATTTCATGGGTATCCAAAAGCGTGTTTGCAAAATCTAAAGATACGCTTAGGCATGGGGAAGGCGAAGATAGGGTCCAGGTCGCGATCTTCCACGACTGGACACCGCCCGCCGTGCGCGACGAGCGGGCCGGAGGATGGACAGGATGAGCGAACGAGCAATGAGCTGAAGAATACCAAACAAACTTGCAGATTTCAAACACATATCAACAAGTGGACGCGACGTGGATGTGTGAATGCTTGTAACTTCAGCTTGACATCGTCACATCGTGTGGGGAAACAAGGGTTCAGCCTTCGTAGCAGACTGGTAGATGCTAGCGCATTGAGTGGACATGGCTGCTCTGCCGTAATCTTCGCTTCTGTCCGACCAACACCATCCAAACGATCATTGACAAGCAATTCCGGTTAAAGCGCATCGTTCGGAGCAAGCACGTCCGGGATGATCATGCGATGGAGTGAATGTCCCTGCCCCTCTCGGTCGCTCGTGCGCTCCGCAGATGCACTTTCCTCCCATCCATCCACCGTACTCGGAACCACCACAACAACGCCCAGTAATTGAGATCAGTCTCCCCTCCACAATCAGCCACGAGCTGCTTCTTCGATAAACATTGCAAGACAGCGCGTCTCCTACGGGTCATCAACGCCTCCACGTCCACCACACCCAGCGCGACTCGCACCCAGACAAGCACGATGGCCCCGGATCTGAACAAGGTGCCGACCAACACAGGCAATACGTCGAGCACGCAGCCGGCTTCAGGCTCGTTGTCACGTCAGACATCGTCCCGTCAGGCATCTACACCGGGCTCTAGGCGAGCATCGCAGATGGGCCCCCCGCCGCTGCCTCTCGCATCGCCTGGCGGTACCCTACCACCGCCCCAGTCAGCATCACATCATGTACATGGCTTCCCGCCTCTCAGCCCCAGCGCGAGCGGCTACGTCCAGGCGAGCGTCGACTCAGCAGGCGTTCCGATGAGACACCCACGTCCGATGACACAAGCAGAGCTGCACCTGGAGCTCGAGAAGGAGCAGGAAGCCGTCGTCAACCGTCTGACGCGAGAACTCTCGGCTCTGCGCGCACACTCTGCGTCTGTGGCCTCCAACACGTCTATGTCCAGCGCCGCCGACTCCTCCGTCGCACACGCTGAAGCTCCCACCGGACCTATGCATCCCACATCCTCGCGCCGCCACCGCAGCTCCTCGAGCGTCTCCCGCAGCGGCCTACCACCAGGCCACGTTCCACACCGTTACTCCATCTCGTCCCAGCCTGCGACGGGCGATGCTGCCCAGCGCGACCACCGCAGCTCGAGCGTCGTCAGCACCCCACGCTACGAAGAGGTGGCACAACACAAGGCGGAGCTGGAGGAGGTCAAAAAGGAAAACGAGGCCTTGAAACAGCGCATCCGTGATCTGGAGCGCATGATCAGGGGCGGCAATGACGCCGCTGACGGTCAGAGGGGTCGGAGGGGTGCACCGCAGTCGCAGAGCAGCGGGGTTGGCAATGCTTCTGATACTGTGCAAGCACCTGCTAATGAGACAGCAGGGGTCCCCCAATAAAGCTGTGAATAGGGTGAAGGAGATGTGTTTGTAGGGTATCTGTGAGAAGGATTGTTAATAGCGCAGGCCAGGCTAACGTTGCATGTGCGATGGGATGGAACAGGAGAGTTCCGGCTATATCTTCACTTGTCGACATGGAGTTTGAGCGATCAGGCGGATATGCTATGCCAATCGGCATCCATACGGGCGGACGTTTTATTCTAATTCTACCATTCTCATCAATCCATCAATCAATCAATCCATCAATCAATCAATCGAGCTAAACAAAAGACCACTTTTGATGCGATCGCAAAGATAACGACCCCGAATCTCCTTTACGCCGCCCATTACCATCCTTATCACAAGCTTTGCTTCTTTCCCCCCAACACGGCATGACGGGATATCCGTAGATCCATCCAGGGCTAGACGACTAACGCCGCTGATCCTCACGATATGCACCTAACGGAACAGCATCCCAGCGTCGATCTCGTTGTCCCCCTTCTGACGGCAGATCAGCGACGCGGGATGTGTGCATGTGAAGAGGGGGGAAGGCGTGATATACGTAAGGGTAGGACACATTTGTGGCGTGGTGTGATGTTGAGGGAGGTTGGATGGATGTTGTTTAATGCCTCGTTTTGTCGTGACGCGGTGGAAGGGACGAGGCGCCACGGCACGGGCGAGGGCATGGGGGCGTGAAAGCGTAAGCAGATAAGCAAGTAAGAGTAAGAGTAAGGCGCCCGCGATACGTCATTTTGTTTGAAGGTGGAACAGAACAGCTTTCAACCTTTAATGGGGGCGGGACTGGCTTCGGTCGGGGTATTTCGGGGTCGGGATATATACTCAGTGTGGACCTTGAACTTCCGTTTCGTGGTTGAGTTTCGGACTGATTTATACGAACATTGGTTGATATATCATTGCGCGGGACTGCTCTTACTTACTACTAAGGTACGATTTAACTTGTATCCAATATCCAGACCGATCATGTTTGTTAAGAAATCAGGAACAGAACACCTACTTTCAGAGCCATCTTACAACATGAACTGGCTATTCAATCTACGCGATAAATTGACTGGCAGCTTTGACAAGAGGCGGAGGAGTAGCCAACATGTCGATTCCGGAAGCGATGGTATGTACATGGATAACATATCCCGGCCGATGTAATGTCTAGACTTGGAGAATGATGCATCGACATGCTAACAAGAAACATAGCTTTCCCATCGAAACCAGTAGAGACACCTACAGCACCAACAACAACTACGACGGAGCATAATCCCTCGTCCCACCGTCGTGCATCCGCCTCCCCACCTCCACCCCCATCCTCCAACCCCTCGACCATCTCCTCCGCACCACAACGGCCACCCCTCCCGCATATACCAACCGACATCATCACCGCAACGGAGAAAGGCATGATAGGCGCTCCCTTCTGCAGTATACCGAGTGACTCGTCCACGACGTCGAGCCAGGGTCATGAGTCTGAGGCGGGAGATGTGGTCGGAGAGGGGACGTTGCTGACGAGGGCGGAGGAGGCGTGTGGTGGGGAGGGGAGGAAGAGTAGTTGGGTGGGCGGGGAGAGGGAGGGCGGGAGGTGTGTTATGTTTAAGGGGGTTGATGTTTAGCTATACGGAGAGAAATGAGGTAGGCGTTCTGGTTCGAGGCGTATACATGGGAACTGGATTTTTGAGGGGGATGATGTATGATAACGTGGAGGTCTTGATTGAGAGCCATTTTCATGTCTCGGTTTTACGAATGGAAAGGACAACTTCCCTTCCTGTCTTTCCAACTCTTCGCTACCCCAATTCATGAACATCTTGAAGCGCGCAAAACGTAATAACAATACCATCACAATCGGTTGGCTCTTGCCTCACACCCTCCTACTACCGAGTCATCTTCCTATTCTCACTATGCCGCTTCGCCTTCAACGCATCCCGTCTCCTCTTCTTCCACGCCCGATTCAAGTCACCCCGATTCTCCCAGAACCACTTTTTAAACTCGCTCTCTGGCTTCTCCTCTTTACCACCAGCAGCCGCTGCATTCTCTTCCTCGTCCTCCTCGTCTTCTTCCGCGACCTCAGCTAGCTTGGCTTTGGCATTTGCGCGCGTATTCTGAGATAGGCGTTGCTCGGCAAGGGAGTCAACGTCGCCCATGTCTTCGTCCTCGTCGGCTTCTTGGCTGTTCTTGCGCCAGTCGAAGGAGAAGCGGCGGCCGAGGCCGGCGGTGTCGGGGGTTGGTGCTGCGCTACGGAGGCCGCGCCATTCAATGTCTCGTTGAGTGAAGGGGGTGGTGGGGGCTTCGTCGATGGGTTGGCCGCGCTCGCCGTCGACTTCCATCGTGTCTTCGTTGTTGTCGAAGAAGCTGAAGGATGTGTCGATTGGAGTGAGCTTCTTGGTGGGAGTTGAGGTTGTGCCATCTGCGGGCTTTGCGCGTTTGAACAGCGCTTCGAGGGGGTGAACCTCTTTCTCGGACGATGTAGTTGGTTGGACCTCGGGCGTTTTCCTGCTTTCGACAGGTCGAGCGGGAGAAGATGCAGATGATTCGGCTTCTGATTCTGATTCTGGCTCGGACTCGGACGCAGAAGAGTCCTCATCTTCAGAAGAAGACGAAACTACTGATGATTCGTCCTCAGATTCAGACGATGATGGTGGGGGAGTAGCTTTCCTCTTCTTCTGGTCCTTCGTGGTCGTAGATTTTGCTGTCCCGTCAATCCAGGCCCTTTGAGCCTCCGAGGGCGCGTCTACCAGCTCCAGAGCTCGCCTAGCCTTGGCTTTGCCAGTCTCAGGCTCAACAACGACACCGTCCTCGTCTACCCAGCCCTGGCCATTGACATAGTCGACTGCAGGCTTCGTTGACAGCGCGACTTGTGGCTGCTTCAGGAAGCTGGGAGTCTTGATGTTCTTCTCGAACTCATGAACAACGACTTCATTTATCTTGGACTTGTTCTTTTCCTTTTTCTCCTTCTTCACCTTCTTCTCGTCCTTGTGAGCAACTTCGGTCGCAGCCACGGGTGTCAGCTTCGCCTTGAAGAGCAGCTCAGCATCCTTGGTGTACTTCGAGGGCTTCCGCTCCTTCTTCTCGTCCTTGTCACGCTTGTCCTTTTTGTCTTTCTTATCCTTCTTGTCCTTCCTGTCCTTCTTCGACGGCTCAGTCCAACCGCGCTTGACTTTCCTGTCGTCTGGCAGCTCTACACCTTCCAGCACGCCCTGCTCCCTCTTCTTCTTCTCTTTCTTCTCCTTCTTTTCTTTTTTCTCCTTCTTCGCGCGCTTCGAGGGGCGTTCGGTATCCGCCACCTCCTTCGCCGCGTCAGCCTCTGCCAGAGCTTTGCGCTTCTCAGGTTTCGCCATCTCTATCCGCACTTTTGCGCCTCTCAGGATTGTGCCGTTGAGCTTCTTCTTGATCTTTTGAGCTTCGGGTTCGGGTAGCTCTACGTAGCCGAAACCTTTCTCGGGGAAGGTCGCGACGGTATGGTACGAGATATTCTGCGCAGAGGGGAGGACAGACGGCGCGACGTAGACCTTGAGCAGGTCGGGGCGGAAAGGCGTAATGTGCAGGCGGACGACCTTGCTTTCGGGTTGCGCTTCGGAAGAGTTAGGCGCTTGTGCTGCTGGCATTGGGTCGCAGGTTCGCGCGCGTGCGACAGGTGGAGATGACTGTGCGCAAAGACTCCAGGGCGTCTAGAGCAAATAATACGGGCTACGAACTTGAGCGACGCCTGTAAGCGTCGTGTAGAGGTGTCGGGGCCGGAGGGGAAAGGAAAATGCTTAGCGCGACAAGGGACCCAGCTGTCTGGTCTTAGCGTGTATGCGGGCGGAGGTTTGGAGCTCCACTGTGACCATTATCATGTTCCTCGCGCGATAGACGTCTAGAACCACATCAGATTGACATCTTGTTGGCACTGCAATTGATCCGTCGCTTGTACAGATTCAACACAATATCTATCCTTGTCGCCACCACGATGCGGAAACCGCCATACCTCCTCTTCCTTCTCCTTACTTTTCTATCATCTCTCTCCCTGTCCCTTGCAGCCTGTACGTTACCCTTTTCTTCGTATCCAGGCACTTATTGACATCTCATAGCGCGTACGTCGTTCTGCAAATGTACCTGCAAAGGCAATAGTACCATCATAGCCCTCGACGCGCCCAGCACGAAGAAGCCCGCCGCCCTCGAATTGAAACCCCGCGCCTCCAAAAAGACATGTAACGATTGCACCCGCCAATTCTGCCTAGGTTATGGCGTCTGCGCAGGAGAGAAAGAGGAGAACGTGCTTACAACATGCTTCCAGAGAGATTCTGCCAAAGACCAGGCAGTTGTGTTTGTCTTCATTGGAGCGACGGTGGGGCTCTTGGGGTGGGCGGCATTGCGGCCTTATGTTGAGGGATGGAGAGAGGTACGTGTAGGCGAGCGAGGCCGACTTGATCGGGAACTGACTGGAAACAGCGTGCACGAGAACGGCGAAGCTATATACCTGTGGCTGGTCAAGGGAATTAGCGAGTTGCAAGACTGGAAATCGTTTGAAAATGCATTGGATGTACAATATGGACACGAAGCAAAGATACCCGAGATGATCGTTGACTCCTTCATAACTGCTGAAGAACTCCATCATGCATACATCTAATGTGACAGCAATGTACAAGGCTGAGGTCGTATATAGTACACTGAAGCGTCTGGCTTCACTCTCCGCTGTCCTTCTTCTACTCTTTCTTCGATCCACCCTTCATGAATCCAAACCATCCCTTGCCCGTCTCCTCCACCTTGTGCACTACCTTCTCTGCTGTATTGTCGAGCGGGCCTCCGACTACTGGTGTCGATGATGTGAAAGTGGATGTTGTGTCGTTCGCCCTGGCCTCTTGTACCGCAGCAGCGATACCTAGGTTTGAGTTGCCTTGGGATTCTTGCCGCTTGATCTCCTCCACCGCCAGCTTTCTCTGCTCTGCGATTGCTTGGTCCTCCTTCCAGTCGCCGTGCAGCCACCACAGCAGCTTGGAGGGCGCCTTTCGCTCTGCCTTCTTCTTCTCCATTGCTTCTTGCTCCTCGGCGATACCTGTGACAAGAGCGGCTTGTGCGGGTGAGGCTGTTCCTGCTGCGACAGCATTGCGGGCGGCTTCGAGGATCCTGGCCTGGACTCGTTCCTCTTCGGCGAAGTAGATTGCTCGTTTCCGTCGGTTGTAGACGATCATGTCGCCTATTGAGAAGACTGCGAGGACACCGACGCAACCTATTCAGACAGTTAGCATCATTCCTACCCAGTGACCGGTTCAGCCATTGGCCACTTGGTGCCCACATACCTGTTGCAAATATCAAGCCATAGACGGTAAACCTATGCGCCGCATCCGCCGCCATTCTGCCGTACAAGTACATGTAATCCCACCTCGTCACCTGCGCCATTTTTGCCCTGTTCGCTGCCTCTCGTAACCGCTTGACCTTCTGCTGTGGCGTTTCGTTTTTCGGTGCGGGATCCGCGAATTGGAGCGTCGTTGCCCGCCCGCCAGGTCTTGTGTGCGCCCATACTCCGGTGGCTGTAAATCGCGTGGACTCTTTCGGTGATTTCGACATGATGAGCGGAAGTGGGAAGAGCACTCGGAGGGGAAGTGTTGTGGGAAGAAGATGTCGTGAAGATGGCGGAGCGGGAGAACGAATGATTCGATGATTTCCAAAAGTCGAGATGGACTAGGGTTCGATGCGGAGATTTCCGCCCATCTGCCCGCTAACGTACATCGTCGACCATACCGCTGAACTACTTATCAGATCTTTTTCGTGTGTGTATCGGGAGCTCGCTGATACGTTGATTCGAGAGGGCAGCAGAACTCAGTATGAGCAGTGCAGGCCAAAGATTGCTTCTTTCCTTGCAATGTCCTTGATCTGAGCGCAATCACACGCCATGATCCAACGTGCCCGCCTTCAATTCACACCACTCTTCCGACATCTTAGCATTGGAGAGTCTCCTTAACACCACCAAATAGTGCAGTCACGCTGTTGTCGCAGACATGGCGGAAAACGTCAGTCAGAACCTGGATCTGGCACAGATTTTGGCCACGCTTGCGAACCTGCCCAAACCAGAAGCTCAGCCAGTTCAAGATCAACAACAGCCATACGAGCCCTACCAAAGTCACCAGGGGTACCCGGAGCCCCAACAGGCATACCTAAATCAGCAAAGTGCTCCGTATCAACAATCTGCTGACCCTCGTTTGGCTGGCCGCGCGCCTCCTCAACATCGACAGCCACCTCCCAAACCACAAGGCAGAGTTTCTTCTCCGTTCATCGATCCTTCTACCATCACAGAATGGAAACAAGGTCTCCGCTGTGTGAGCAAGATAGCTTCCCAGAACCCAGACTTTGCTCCTGCGGTTCGCAAGGTAAGGCATACGTCTCTTATGAGCCCACGTATAATGCTCACGAAATGGTCAGTTGATGAAAGATCAAGAGTCAAATGTCAAGTCTTGGGAGGCTGGACGCAAGAATCTGATTGATGAACACAAGTTCAAGCGGGAGAACGAACGGACTCATCGAGCTGCGCTGTACGTCACAAGCCGTTTGTCATGACATGTGACTAACGTTCGCAGATCTTTACCAGGTCTCTTGGAAAATACACCCGCGCTTCGTGTACGTTCAAGTACACTTATGCTGATGGATGATTACTGACGCGGCACAGACACCAGAGCGTGAGAAAGAGGAATTGGACCAATATGACGCCAAGGTATACCGAGCTTCTAAAGCTATGGTCGACTCACAAACATCATCACTCAAAGTCTTGGGTGTTCCATTCTTTGGTGTAAAGCCACATCTGGTAGTTGGCTCTAGCTACGACCCGACAGAAGTCACCGACTCGCAGCCGACACCGGCGGGCGGTAAGGTATCGAAAGAGCAGCTCCTCGAATTACAGCGGAAGATGCTGAACCACTTAATGGAGCTATACGGGGACTGAGGAGACCTCTTTACAGAACGGAGAAGCTTCGTTGCCACAGAACGATCTATATTCTACCAGTGCTGATAGTGGGTGGTTGCCTGGCTTCGGACTTAGCTTTCTGATCCTAGACCAAAACGTTCTGTTCACTCACCGTATCCGTTCATTCACCACCCCAAACAGCCTCTAGCTGTAAACTTACCTATAAAGCGAAATCGGCTCGGAAATGACGTCACTTGCACGATGTTACCAGCAACAGTGGAGAGCAGAGCAAGCGCGCGAGCGCAAACGCACATCAATCTCCCATTCACTCGTCTCAGTAATTGCCCTCGACGCTATTGGCTGCTCAAGGGCCAATGGAGCTAGTGCCGTTGACCGCAATCGCTCTCATAACAACAAAACATTTACCTCTTTTGCAATCATCAGCTTCCACTCACCTCACCACGCTCGTTGAAGTATTTGATCCATTCCACATTCTTTTCGCTACTCACACTCGCTACTTCCCTCTACCCACTTCAACCCCAGTCGCTCCTTCCGATACAAACGTTCACCCTCCAAGATGAACACTGTACGCGCACTCACCATGGTCGCAGTTGCCGGTAAACAGTCTCCAACCAGCGCGCTTGCCCGCTGTTCCACTCTTGCTAACTCATACCCAGCAGGCGCTGCCGCGGAGTCTGCCCAATGGAGTCCCGCTATCAACCACGTTCTCGCTCATGCTGTAGCTGCACGTGACGACCACTGCGCTGAGCTCCCAAAGCTCTGCACAGACGCCGTACTGCTACGTGGCTATGAGACTACCCTCACCTATCTTTGTCCCGAGAATACCGAAGGCCCGTCTATCGTCACCGTCACTACCACCAGGACAACCACTGTGACGGCAGACCAGAGCCTGACCTCTAGCGTTGCTCCCGCTCCCGCTCCTACCTCGGATGTCGGAGCTGCTCCTTCAGTGCAGCCTCTCCCCCACAAACCCGTCTCGGCCACTTCGGACGTTGGAGGTCCTCCCGCAGAGGAGCCTACCACGACCGTGATCATCCAGTCAACCGTCCAAGTTACCATCACTAGATCAGTCATCAAGGTCATTCCCAGCTCTACGTCTTCGTTGCTTCCTCCCCCGTCCATCACTTGGTCTTTCACCGCGATCCTCCCTACCGATGTCAAATCCTCCCATGTCTCGGGCGGATCGTCGTCGGCGTCTCGCACTGAGGTACCATCGATAGTGTCGTCCGTCGGTCCGCCATCATTTAGCAAGAGCAGATCGGTTGGATTGTTCCCTAGCCATACTGTTAGTAGCTCGTCTTCGGTGGTTTCCACGTCTTGGTCAGCTTCCGCGTCTTCGGCGGCTTCCTCGTCTGCGTTGGATTCCACATCTACGGCTGCTTCGACGTCTTCGATGGCGCGTTTACCGTCAGGTGGTCATCATGCTCCACCTTTCGCGAACGGTACCGCTATCAGCTACACCCCCGGCATCTTCCCCACGCTGAACGCAAGGGATGAAGAGTCCACGAGGACTGTCTACTCTACGGTTACCCGCCATGCCTCTGACCATGTCTCGGATACTACTCATGCTTCAGAGACCACACACGCTGCGGCCACTGAGACTAAGAAGGGTCAGGCTGGAGACAATAGGGCCTCGTTCATTGCCTTGTTCTTCGGCGTACTGGCTGCTACCTGGCTTATCTAGGGAGTCGTAGCTACTCCTCTTGGATAACGGCATGTTACTGTAAGAAATGGAAGTTCTGGATAACATGTGTCATGGTGTTACGATGGGATGTGTAAGACCTTTTCACGAATGACACGATATGTACATAGTCATGACGGTATGTCAACATAGGGAGAAACTGAACCCTATGGACCTTGCATTACCAAGAAGTCTTTCTAGTTCACTTACTCTATCTGAGGGTAGTCTGCAGACCTGTTCAGAATTTTCTTGCATGAAGTGGTGGTGTAACGGCCCTCTGAAACATATAGAGATGTATCACAGGGAAATGAATACTTGATTATATGAATACTTCATGATTTACAACTGAAATAGACTGACATAGGCTCGGCGATGGCTGTAGCGACTTCAAACAGCGAGCTCTCCAGCAGCTTGCACAAGGAAGTGATCAAGTCGTGAAGTGACTTGTTCCAATGTGGGAGTATCTTCTCCAACTACCTGTTGTGCGCCCATAGAAATACGCAACGGGCGATTGCGTGCCTCCGACTCCAGATCATCGAGCTCTTCTAAAGCTTCAATGTATTCTGCTCTCTTCAGTTCGAAGGCTTCGCCGTCAAACGCACCCGAGCCCCATCCACAATCGAGGTAGATCTTTTGCCACACTCTTACTCGATTAATATACCGTCGCAACCAGTCAGCACCATCTGGGCCGTGCTGCTGCCTCAAATGCTGGATCGCGGCAGTTGTGTCAGTTGGAAGACGAATGCCTCCCGGAAAAAGATTCTGCATGATAATGGGATCCTCCAAGATCTTGCGCGCGGGTGGATGGGAAGGATCGTCGTCCTCTCGGGGATCGTAATACGGAACCCATTCCAAGCTTTGAAACTTTGCAATAATCTCATCAAGCACGGTCTCAGCTGGTCGTCTAGGTGCTTTCTCCCATTCGTTGCGGTCAGGTCCAACTGAAGACCACTCAATTATCGTTTCTGTATTCGGTGAACGTTCAATCTACTTGCTTGCAAACAATTGACATACGGTCCTGTGTATCATAGATCAAGTCAGTACCGTAGTGACCGCTATACATATCACCACTTGTCAACCTCAGCATATGAGGCGGCAGTAGCTTGGTATCTTCATCTTGTTTGACCCTTTCACCCCACCGCAAATCCTCAACGAAGTCTGTGTCACCGGTGTCGGCGAAGTATGTTACCGCTTTTGAACGGGGAATCAATTCGACGCCGAACCACTGCCACGCTTCGACAATGTCGCTGCGCATTGCAGGGATTGACCTTATCAACTGAATGACCTCGGAATCCAGGCCTATCTTCTCGAAAATAGAAGTTGCGACGGTCTCGGAAGAGTGAGGTGGGCGAATGATATCAGATGGAGATATGTAGCGCATCGTGACGAAGAGATCGAGAAGCTTCGTCAGGCGAGAGATGAAGCCCGCGTGCTTCTCAGCGATGGCCTCCATTACCGCGAGTGTTGTGGGAATGATGACGAGCCGGTGGAGGTGATGGATGGTTCTAAGGGCCAGGGGTCGTGCGCGTACCTAGGTAGCTTCGCGATCCAATCACCAGACGCGCGACCGCGACGAACAACCTCAGGCTAGCCTTCACCACCACTCAGACGAGCGGCATCGCCAACAAACCTCTCCCAAGACGACTACGCCCACGGTCGACTTCCGCTATCGCACGGCCCTCACACGACTCTTCCAGCATAGATCGGTGTGCGCGCACGAGAGCCATCCCGCCGACACGACGGCATTGATCGCCTTCGAGATTCGGACACCGCCTACGCTCACGTAACCCTGCGAAAGCTACCGCAACTTCACGACCCTCCCAATCGCCAGACGCACCTGAACAAGTCAGCAAAATGGTTGGAAAGAAATCGGGCAGAGCCCAATTGAGGGAAGAGGGTACGGCATCGGGACACCACAGCGCAAACATGGGAACTAACAAGCCTGCAGGTCTGGAGCGAACGGACAACAACATGGACCTCACGACATGGCCCCAGGTCGGCATGATCAACCAAAAGAACTACTACACCGAGTTCCTCAAGCGCGACGAACAGTTCCTCGCCGTACGATACCCCAAGGATGAAGAGAGGGCGCGCATAGTACAGGAAGCCAGGGACAAGGATCGCGCACGCGCGTTGGGTGTACCGGCAACGGAAGGAGCGACACCACAGGTTGCGGACGAGATAATGGAAGACGCCGAGGTCTCCTTCGCATCAAGAACCGACATCTCCAAGCTCATCGTGATACATCCTGGTAGCCAGAACTTGAGGATAGGCCTTGGATCGGACGCACTACCGAAGACTGTGCCTATGGTCATCGCGCGCAAATGGAAGGAGAGTGAGGACGAGGAGGATGAGGGGGAGCCTAGCCCCAAGCGGATGAAGGTCGAAGGTGCCGTGCCCGCCGATGCGCTGCCTGAGAAGTGGTTCGGAGAGGATGTGAGTATTTGAGTGTTGATTGCACGGGCGGTGCTAACTTGCGACCAGTTTGCCGACCAGTACATGGCCATGTCATCCGAACTTAGGACGAGGATGCGTTCCAACAAGCGACGAGTGCTACCCAACTCGAAAGACCTCGTAATCAACTTCAACCGAAAATCACCCCCAGACATTATCTCCGAACACAATGACATCAACCGCATCGAGTGGACAGAACTACCTGCAGACCCCAAGAAGGCACCGGACTTCTTCACTGGGCACGATGCGCTGCGGATACCCGAGAGATCCAACCCACGATACAAGCTGTTCTGGCCTATACGGAACGGCACTTTCAATGAGAAGGACTATCGCGACCGTAATCAGATCTACCATGATCTCTCCAAGATACTAGAAGAGGCTTTCCGGAATCAACTTGGTATTACCAGGTTAAAAGACCTTGTCAACTACAAGTGCGTCTTCATCATACCAGACCTCTACGAGCGACAGTACGTCACGATGATACTGGACATTCTCATGCGGGATCTTGGCCTTGGAAAGGTCTGCCTGCAGCAAGAGTCGCTTTCGGCTACTTTCGGTGCTGGCTACGGTGTTGCCTGCGTAGTCGATATCGGTGCTCAGAAGACATCGATCTGTTGCGTTGACGAGGGCCTTTGTGCCGAGGAGTCCCGTGTCAACCTCAAGATGGGCGGAGCTGATGTGACGGAAACATTCATCAAGATGATGCTCTACGGGCACTTCCCGTATGCCGACATGAACCTGAAACGGAGATACGACTTCCTACTTGCCGAGGAGCTGAAGCAGAAATTCTGCTCTATGGATGAAGGCTCGGTCACGGTACAAACATGGGACTTCCATCTTCGCGCTTCGGGCCAAGACACGCGGAAGTACACTTTCAAGACGTATGACGAGACCATGCTTTCTGTCATGGTGAGTAACTCAACAATTATGTAAGATGGGCTTTGCTGACGAATTCAGGGTTTCTTCAAGCCTTCCATCTTTGAAAACGCACGAAAACTTGAGAACAGGAGGAAGGTCGTGCCACGCTCAGTCGACCTCTACGACGGCTCACCCAATGATCCTATCTCGCAAGCACAAATCGCCATCATCGAAGCCGCAGCCGGTAAACCCGTGGTCCCCACCATCAACGGCGCGTCAGAAGCCGTAAACAACACAGCACCCGCCTCGACACCCCAACGCCCCCAGCCAAACCCCTTCAACCTGCTCGGCCGCCTCAACGACAACGAAGGCACACCCCGCTCCTCCGTAGCCGGCTCACCCGGCCCCGAAGGCAGCAACACGCCCAACCCCGACCGCGACACCCCCATGGGCGACACAGACGGCGCCCCCCTCCTCTTCCGCGACCCCATCCACGAAAAGACCAAACTAGCCGAAGCCCGCGACGCCATCCTCCCCATCCACTCCCTCGACGCCGCGATCCTCGAATCCCTCTCCCAAGGCGCCCGCGGCGACGACCGCAAACTGCGCGACTTCTTCGGCGGCATTATGCTCGTTGGCGGCGCGTCCAAAACACCCGGGCTACGCGAGTTCCTCGAGATGCGACTCCGTGAGTTGCGACCGGGCTACGGTAAAGAGATTCTTGTGGGGCCCCCGCCGCGCGACTTTGATCCGCAGGTTGTGGCGTGGAAGGGGGGGAGTGTGTTTGGGCGGTTGAGCGGGCATGGAAATGATGGCTGGATTAGTCGGTATGAGTATGATATGTTGGGGGCGAGGCTGTTGAATAATAAGTGCATGTTTGCTTGGTAGGATGGAGTGAATAGGGATGCTGTGGATAGGTCTCGTAAGGAAGGTCGAGATGTGTGATCTGTTGGAGGGTGGGTGTTTAGATGGGTGGGTTACTGGGTATTGTTAGAGCAGCATGGGGTTGGTGTGGGATGGTGAGAGTAGACAATCGGTCATGGTGCATCCTGGTGGGTTCACCGAGGGTGGTATTTCTTGTCGTATAACAATGTGTTATGAATACAGCTTCCTCAAAAGCCTGCTTATGGTCATACTCCAAAGTCACTATAGCGGCGTTCTTGATTACAAGAATGTAGCTTGTAAGTCGTGATTGTATTTCGTCTCATATCGCATACACTAATGTAACAACAGATGAGAGTCAGACCGCTTCACCATGTGACTGTCACATCTTGCGACCGTCAATACGCCATCATAGCCGTGGCACCATCTTGCGCATACATCGCACACTCTCTTGAAACCCCTCTCACGTGTGGAAGCCACCAGCTTACAATGGGACATCGGCGAGCTCGCAGACCTTCTTGTGAACCTTCCAGTGCTTCTTCTGGCACTCAGTGGAGCAGTACTTGCGGTTCTTGCACTTGGCACAAGATAGCAGGGCGTCACCTCCAGCTCTAGCCTTGACACCACATCCACCACACAAGTCCGGCTTGTTGAACTGCTCACGAAGCTCCTTGACGACGAGCGAAGTTGATGAATCGGTCATACCAGTGCTGAAGAGACCTCCCGGGCCAGGAACATTCATCATCTGGAAACCCATTCCGTTAGCGGGCTCAGAGGGTCTAGCGTTGGCCTCTTCGGTGATGCTCTTGGATTTGAAGTCGTAAGGTACGCCGTTCTTGTAGCCGTTCGGACCGAAGAGCGCCTTCTTCATCTGGCCCTGCGCAGCAGGCATGAGACCACCTTCAGTGTAGACCTTCTTGAGCATGGTGATGTAGGCAGCGGGGAGCTTGCATCCGAGAGTCATGGCACAAGCACCGAGTAGGACGTAGACGTAGGTGGGATCCGGTCCCCAGTTTCCGAACCACTTCTCTTTTAGGCCGACAGGACCAGCGAGCATCTTCGCCTCCTTCGTAGCGATCATGTCGACGAGGATACCGGAGTCGAGGTGATTGCGGATGAGTTTGGGGTGAGAGCAGTAGGGGGCGTAGGTGCTGTATGCACAGCAGCGTCCTGCTTCTTCCTCAGACTTGCCTTGAGCTCGCGCCCTGGCCTGAGCGGCTTCCATGAGTGGAAAGAGACCGGCTTCAGTATCGAGAGCTTCGACGATTTCGAAGTCGTGGTCTGACTGGAAGAGACCTGGCATGGTGTTAGTCGATGAGGTGCTCGATTGAAGTATGCTCGTCACTTACAGTATCCCCAGGCACCCATCTTGGATATTCAGTGCTTGTAGTAGTTGCGTACAGGAGTGGAAGATGAGCGGTCGATGAAGCAAGCAGTCAAGGTGGACTACTGCGGACGATTGTTGACTGGGCTGAGCTTTGCTGTGGAAGGTGAGTGGTGAAGTGAAAACGAGAGAGCACGATATGAAGTCAGACAAGGGTACGCGTCGCGTCACACGTCATACGTGAGGTCAGGCTGCAATGTTCGCTGTGGGGGAAGGAACGACGACGCGTGGTCCCGTGACCCAGGCGCCTTCCTCAGATATTGCCATTGCGACCTCAAGCAGCAAATTGGGGCACTTCGTGATTCAATCAGCCTGATGTCCGCAAAGCGCCGTGGGTACAAACACCCCTTCACTGTCCGGCCTTCCGTGCGAATACCCGATCTGTCCATTGTTCAGCTTAGAGGGGGTCTAATTTTTCTTCGCACCGATGATCAGCATTATGTATCGATTGGTGAGAGTATCCCAAGTGTTTGCCAGCGACATCACTACTATAAACTGTGTCGAGAGTTGTATCAATCTGATGTGACAAGTTCCAGGTATTGGACACATACTCACAAATTTTCCATTGAACAAAAACGCATACGATGTCCTGCAGAGGGCGAGTGTGGCTACTCTTGTATGCACATCTGGGGTGCACTTGAGCTTTTGAGATATCCGAGAGCATGCGCAGACGCTGTTATATCTCTTTGACCCTGAACCGCAGCGGCGGGCTAACCACCAATGCGACAGGCAAGACCTCACCTCACCGCTCCTTGCTCCGCCTTCGGCGTACCGCCTCTCTCACCTTCACTGTATCACCATGAATTTACAAGCGTCTAAAAGGCTAGCGAGAGCTGGTTATTTCTTTTTACCACTTGGCCTTACTCTCTCGATCAACCACTACCTCACGACACACCAAATCATATCCGAAGTGAGTCGCGTCTTGGGCGACAGTCGTCGCAATAGTCACTGACTCGTGTGCAGAGTATCACCAAAGTAATACCCGATGGCAGTCATCCATGCTCGCGGTGCAACCAAGAAGGCCAAGAAGCACCAGCCTATCCTGCAAGTAACTTTCCGCGCCATTGTCCTAATACCACAGGCTAACATATCCAGCTTCGGTGGTAGACTCCTTCGCCTCCGCGTAGGTCCACAACGTCGTACAGTCTCGGTTCATGAAGATATGCTATGCAAGCGGTCCAAAGTCTTCAAGGACCGATTCCAGCCTGAACGAAAAGACGTCGAAGGCGAATGCGTCATCTGCCAGGAAGGCCTCGATCCCATGGTCAAGACCCTCACCTACTGTAAGAGCTGTGGAAATAACCTGCATGAAGACTGCATGGAAGAGTGGTCCGGTACAAACAGTACCTGCCCCATGTGTCGCGCGGAGTGGGTCATGCCGCCTTTCCTCAACAGTGTCGATCTCGAGGATACAAATGCCAATGACTTTGACATGTACGTTCAGTGGCTCTATGGACACACTTTCCCGAAATACGCAACAGAAGACAGAGACGACGGAGACGACGGAGACGAAGTAGACCACTTCGTCCGACTGTACGGTGCGTATTTCGTGGCGGCGGATTACCAAGACGACGAGTTCCTACAAGCCGTGCGCGAGGAAATCATCCATTGCAGTCTACGGATGACGGTCGACTCTCGCTATGCAGAATTCGCTCAGGTGTTGAGGAACTCGGTTGGACCCGGCTATGCTATCCGATTCGTCGTCGATTTGTTCACTCTTCGATACATCCAGAAACATCAACTCGACGACACCGATGACGATGACGATGACGATGACGATGAAAACCCGATGACTAATATCAAAATCTCCAAGAGACTTCTCAGATGTTTACTCGAGACGGCGAAACCTCAGAGCGAGGAGAACGACGAGTATGTCTGGAGCGTCATGCGCGCTTGTGGACACATCGAGTAGGTCAAGTGGACTGGATATTTCCGAGGGAAAAGAAGTGGAGTATGAGAACCGGCAGGATTCAAGAAGATTGGAGCAGATACATGCGCAACATCAAAGCGTTGATGTCCAGTTTTGCAACTGTCGTTGACTTTCTGCTGTCATTCGGGTCTGACAAGCCAAGCCATGGATGTATTCAATCTCAAAGCTCAGTACGAGATGGGAAAGACTAGCGCATGTTAGAAGACATATCTGATACCTGTACATTACTGGAGTGCTTCATAGGCACAGTAAAAATAGCTCACCAGCTTTCGCAAGACTTTTACATGAACGAAGGATTCAGATCTTCCAACTCTCTACCAAGCTTGATCAACAGCATACCCACGTAAAAGCACGAGAAAACAAACAAAATACCACATCCACTCTCATTGGGAAAGGTGTCCTGTCGTCTCCGCCAAGCCGCTCGCATCCTATTCCCAAACTCGCATCCCTCACCCAAACCAGGTTAGTCATCAAACCACCGAAGAACAGCCAGGTTCCTGCATGCGCACTAACCAAACCCGGCATTGTAAACTTCATCAATCACCCACCACCAACCCCCTCCAACCAATCACGCGCACTACGCAGATGTGCGCACGACGCCCGAGGAATCCGGGTCGGAGGGTTTGGCACGACCGTCTCGCCGTTACGCACGTTTGTTTTTGCCGATGATGGGGCTGAACAGCGTGGGAACCACGTTTTCTCTTCTAGCAAGCACCTGGGCATGCAAGGCGCAGGTGGCCCTGCGTTTTTTTAGGCTGACAGGCGACTGGTGTATTCGGTATGTTCCGGATGGGAACGTGGGTGGAGGTACATATTGGCTATAGTACTTCGAGGTAGTGAACCGCTTCATCAATTTCGTCTTTCCGACCTGCTTTCGTGTGTGGGGGTATTCAACTACCAGGACGCCACAATGGCTGCTACCAGCACCCCACCAGAAAAGGCACCGCACATATCCTCCCAACCCATCACCTGGACGAACTGGTACAAGAAGATAAATTGGCTCAACACAACCCTCGTCATCCTGATCCCAAGCTACGGTCTCTACCTCGCCCGCTCCACACCTCTCACCCTCCCGACATTTCTATGGAGTATTGTCTACTACGCCACAACCGCCTTCGGCATCACAGGCGGATACCATAGACTATGGAGCCACAGATGCTATTCCGCACGCCTTCCCCTACGCTTATTCCTCGCGTTTACAGGAGCAGGAGCGATTCAGGGAAGCATACGGTGGTGGAGCGCTAATCACCGAGCTCACCACCGATGGACGGATACGATGAAAGATCCCTACTCGGTTATGCGCGGACTCTTATTCTCGCACATCGGATGGATGGTGTTGAACAACGATCCGAAAGTTAAAGGGCGGACGGACATCTCTGATCTGGATAGCGATCCAATCGTCGTGTTCCAACATAAGCATTACGGCAAACTGCTCCTGTTTACAGCCTGGATCTTTCCTGCCGTGGTTGCTGGACTGGGGTGGGGCGATTATTGGGGTGGCTTTGTGTATGCGGGGATTATACGGGCGTGTTTCGTACAACAGGCTACGTTTTGTGTGAATAGTCTTGCGCATTGGATTGGCGAGCAGCCGTTTGATGATCGGAGGAGTCCGAGGGATCATGTGTTCACTGCGTTGGTGACAATGGGTGAGGGGTACCACAACTTTCATCATGAGTTTCCGTCTGATTACCGTAAGTTGCTGTTTCCTTTGAGCTATGGAAGCTATGATAATACTGATGCTTGAAAGGGAACGCGATTGCCTGGTACCAATACGATCCGACTAAATGGCTCATCTGGATCATGTCGAAGATCCCGGTCTTTCCTCTAACATACGACTTGAAGACTTTCCGCTCGAATGAGATTGAGAAAGGTAGACTCCAGCAGCAACAAAAAGCTCTCGACAAGAAGCGATCGATGCTCGATTGGGGTGTGCCACTCGCTCAGTTGCCGGTGATTAGTTGGGACGACTTCCAGACTCAGGCTTCAGCCAAGGGTGCTGCTTTAGTCGCTATTGCTGGAGTGATACACGACGTCTCGCCGTTCATCGCTGATCATCCGGGGGGCAAGACGCTCATTAAGAGTGCGATTGGGAAGGACGCTACTGCGGTGTTCAACGGTGGTGTATATGAGCATTCAAATGCGGCACATAACTTGTTGTCGACAATGCGTGTTGGAATATTGCGAGGCGGACAGGAAGTTGAAGTTTGGAAAACAGGTGGTGAGAAAGACACCAGAGACACCAAAGGGCTCGGTGTTGTCAGGGCTGGTGATCAGATCACCAGGGTAGCTGCGCCAGCTACAGCAGCCACAGCAGCCTGAACAATATGAGGTCGGGTATTGAGTCATTTATTTCAGACACAGAACTCTGGTATCGTATACGATTCTCATCTTACTTGCCCGAAGGCACCTCCTCCCACTGCACTCCGACCCATTCCTCCACATATCCGACTTCTCCTTCCTGAACATCATTGGGTTTGCAGTCTTTGCTGCATACTGCCATGATAATAGTGCCCCATTCCATGCCGTCGAGACTCATCTCATCAGCCTCAAGCTCGGTGATCGCATGTGGTGTTAGTTGAACCTCGAAGACCCTGTCCGCGCCACAGGTCGAACAGCGAGGGAACCCAGCCCCACTTCGTGAGCCTGCTGTCTTGACCTTTGCGTTCGACGAAGGACCATTCTCCGAGTGTGGACCCAGAAGCTTGCCGATAGCATCGTTGTCGCTGTACAGGAGCGGCTTGCCTTTGTACTCATATCGTAGCACCTGCTCTGCATTCTCTCCGATGCGATCTGCAAATTTTTGGAAGGTCCTGTCCATGGACGACTCAAAAACCTCCTTGTCTTCTTTCCCACCACCACTACCGCTCCCTTCGTTGTCTGTGTCCATCCGCACGTTCGCTGGAATCGAGGGTGTTGAGGGCGCGTCTAACGTCTCGTATTCGGCGTCGAGGTGATAGTGAGGGAATGGCGTAGGAAAGGCTGAGTCTGCTGGCCATGGCTCATGCGGACGCGGGGGTTGTTGTTCAGAGGGAGGTGGTGATGAGAGACGAACTTTGGACGCGAACGTCTCGGGGAGGGTCGTAGAGGCTTCGTCTTTCTTCTCTTGGGGCTCGCTGACTTGCACTGCGGGCGTGGGACTCGATGCGCCGAAGGGATTGGTACCTGGTTTGGAGAAGGGGTTTGATGATGCTGCGCCATTCGGGTTGGACGAAAACGGGTTCGAGAAGGGATTCGCGGATGTCGATGCGCCTGTCCCGTTCTTCACTCCGAACAGCGACTCGCCAATCTTGGGCTGCGGCTTCTCTTCCTCCTTGACTTCCTTTTTCTCGGCCCTGGGGGCGTTCGCCTTATTGTTGGCGCCTTTTGCGATGCGCACTCCGCGAATGCCCCTTACACTGCCCTCCTTTCTTCTACACGGCTTGCGCCGACATGTCCAGATGTAAAGTCGCCGCTCGTGGCCAGGAAAGTTGTCGGGAAGATCGCCGTTAAGTTCGAGGAGGAGGCTGAGGTAGCCATTGCAGACTTTACATTTTGCTAAGGCGCCAGAAGGGGCTGTCTTCTCGTCTATCCAGCTCTACTATGATCGTCAGAAAGACGCTCGGCGTGGTTGATGATGTGCGTACCGGTGCGCCTCCAATGTGGGAAATCGCGTCGCCCGTTGCTTCCCTCGCCGCATATCCTAGCAGAACATTCGTCTCGGTGTAGTCGCCTCCATCGTCTGAGGAATCACTGTCATAGGGCGCCATTCTGGTTGTTCTTGTGTATATTTCCACAGTTGGTTGTTTGGCGGGGTCTAACTTTTTTGAATATGACGCGGGGCTGCTTGGTGGCCAATGCGCCTTTTGTCGCACTGAGCGAATTTGACCAAGCCTGCAACACCAACTCTTCGTCGCTCATCCACACAACCACCATGGGCGCCCCTTTCGACTTCGCGCCTGAGCGGCCGGATCACATGCAGCAGATCCTCGATGGACTGGATCGCTACAACCCAGAGACGACGGGTGTCTTCCAGGACTATGTCATGCAGCAGTGCGAGAACCAGACGTACGACTGCTACGCCAACCTCGCCCTGTTGAAGCTGTACGTGTCCCCCCTACTCTTCCCCCCATGCTACAAGATGAATAAACAACCACAACGTTTCCTATTACCCGAGGGATGGAGCATGAATCACTCCCCCGCTGAAGTTTATTATTAGCTCTATCTGACAGCTTTCTCCTGACTACCATTGTACCTCAAGCATCAACGTTACATCTGCTAACCACGATGCTCCAGCTACCAATTCAACCCACACCTTGCCCGTGACGAGACCATCACCAACATCCTCGTCAAGGCTCTCACCGTCTTCCCCAGCCCCGACTTCTCCCTGGGTCTCTCCCTCCTCCCTCCACACGTCCTAGCTCCTCTTTCATCTTCATTACACAACCCAGCTGCTGGCGACGCGCCGCTATCAGAAGCTGTCCAGAAGCTCAACGAGCTGAGGAATTTGCTTGAAGGTGCCGACTACTCTACCTTCTGGTCCACACTAGACTCCGACGACCTGTACGCCGACTTGATTGCCGATGTCTCAGGGTTTGAGGAGCTGATGCGCGTACGCATCGCTGCAACCGTCAGCCAGGCGGTGCGCGAGGTTGACCGCAGCATCCTCGAGTCGTGGTTGAACCTCTCTGGAAGCGAGTTCGACAACTTCGTCGGAAGCGTTTGCGGGTGGAACATCGATGGTGCTAAGATCAAGGTGCCCATCAACAAGGACAACGAGGCTAAGGGCACCGTTGTCCGCGAGAACGTCAAGTTCGATCGTAAGTACACCAGCACCACAAACGTCGAGTCGCCGCTAACAAGCCTATCAGAATTCGCAAGGGTCATCAAGAGGGCATACGAGCAGCCCGCATGAGCGACACGATTTATAGTATGACGACATGAGGCTACGGTTTGCACGGTCGGCGTTTGAGGCGGACATTACAACTGCATCAGTATGCGACAGAAGCGTACCAACTGGCCTTCGACAACCGCACAGGTTGATTTCGATGGCTCGCTATATACCCCAAAAGTACGCCGCTATGAGCAGGGCCCAGGAGCATGAAATCTCCATGGGCTAACAAACATCCAATCACATAAATCCGACAAAGTTCAGACAAAGTTCACTGCTCCTCCTTTCCTTCTTTCGCAATCTAGATCTCCTTTCCGTTTCGCTTCTAACAACCCAGTCCCTGTCAGAAAACGGTGGATGACGGTTCCATAGGCTCGGAGAATCCTGACCTAAGCTTCTCACACTCGCCAATAATCAGCCGCATGTCTATCATTCGTTATTAAATGTCCGACATCTCGAGCAACTTCTGGCTTGTAACATGGCGCGACTGTCGAATTTGATCGTACTGCGATAGGGAGTGGTGCCAAGTCGATGCGCAGCGGCCCCGTGAATTTCGCTTATGCGCACGCCACCTTTGCCTCTTACCAACCGTCCAACCCTGTCAACAACAACACCAAGGACAGCTTCTACGTGTTTACCATTGCGCATTCCAGTCGATAACAATGTGGCGCGGCGGGTTAGCTCCTTTCGATCAGGTTTTGACCCTGACAGCTGAAGTTTGTTCGACATGATCACAGCCTGGAGTGTGCTTTTTGCGTTGAACTATGCAACGCGAGCCTGCGATTGTATATGGTCATGGTAGGGGTCGATGTCCTTTGCGGAATTCCTTACCTTCACTTTCACCTTCACCTTGGTCGGTTGCGCTTCGAGAGAACCGGTGTCCATATTCCTCCAGTACCTACCAGTAACATTGCGAGCTCACATGCCCGTCCATATCACACACAACATACACGAAATCTCCACATCATCGTCCAAAGACCGATCCTACTGACTTGGAACAATTCAAGTCGAAGTGCGCTGGTAGCAACATCTAGCTCACGTCACACGCGGCTTCTCGTCAGGTCTCACTCGTGATCGCCTCGGCTCAGCTGCTTCAGCTACCTGCAGCTTACACGGAGCTGAACGGCCCATCAGTTTTGATCACATTTAAAAAGCGATTGAAAGTCTGCAAAATCGCCGAGTTGTGCGACCATACCGAAGACCGATAATACGTCATCATGCCTCTCCATGGATTCGTACTCTTTGTTGTGTGCGCCATTCTCACCTTCGCGACCGCGCAAGCCAGTCCACTATCGTCACCGCAGCAAGCGCCTTCTGTCAAGCGCTGCACGAATGCCGTTGTCAACCCCTCATTCGAGATCCCTGTGCTGTCTCCGTGGATGGATATGGTGACCGGTTCGTGGTACTCGCGCGGGATATCCACCTCTCCTACAGGCGGACACTCCGGCAGTAATCTCTACGCCGCGACATCGAATAGCTCAGCGGTCCAAGCTACACTCACGTTATCGCAATCCTACATCGATCTTCCTGTCGGTGCGACGGTCGATTGCTACGCATGGGTTACCGGAAGGAGACCGAATGGGCAAACGCGCGTTGAGATCTTCCTGGATCAAGTCAGCTGTGGAGAAGCAGTTCATATGGGGGCTGGAAAAGAAGGCTGGACGAAGGTTGGAGGAAAAGTTCAAGTGCAAGATGTACCTGGAGGCGTTGGTCATTCGGTTGCTATCAGTGTGCAGGGCGATGGCGTTGAAGATGAGGAAGGCTGGAGAGTGGCTGTTGACGATGTTGGTGTGATGGTCGGATGCTAGACGAGCGGAAATGAGTGGCACGAATCAAATGATCAGGTCAGGCTGGGTAGAGAAACGTCGTGTCAGCGGGAGATTGTCCAAGGGCTAAGATAAATAAAAGTGTCCAACGAAGAGCCGTCACTGTCGAGTGAACTTGATCTACCAGAGACAAGGAGAAAGATACGGAGCTATGATATCCACAGAGGCGAGACCGAGTATCTTACTAAAAGACTTCGCGCTAGCGGTCGGATTTGGCAGCTGCAGTACTCTACCCAGAAGTATTAACTATCCCCCGATCGTCGATCAACCGCGATCTTCAAACGCTTCAATCACTCCGGTTCCTTCAATCCAATCTCCGCCGCCTTCCGGTCACAAAACTCGGCCATGTCCACATCCTTGATACTCAGTCCCTCGGGCTTATGCGTAGTCCACTCAATCTCAACCCTATTATACAAATTCGACCAACTCGGATGATGCTTCTTGACCTTGCACTCATCCGCAACGAGCGACATGAATCGCCAAGCCTTTGCGAAACTGGTAAATGTAAAGGTGCGCGTGATACTCTTCTTCGCAGCGTTGATTTGCCATGCAGGAGAGAGGCTGGACACGCGTTCGGGTAAGTCAGTGGGTTGGTTGGCAGCGTAGATCATGTTATGTGCTGCGTC